CCAAGGACTAAAGTGCCAAGCTGATAAAAGGCTTCGGCACTACAATAAGTCCCAGTCGCCTCTTCGGCATGGGCAAAACCAAGGGTAAGGAGAGCGGACTGTGAGTCGCTCCCAAAGCCTAAGGGTTAAGGTGCTGAGCTGACAAAAGACCTCGGCACCACATAAACCCTAGTTGCCTCTTCGGCATGGGCATAAAAGTCCCAGCCGCCTCCTCGGCATGGGCATACAAGTCCTAGTCGCCTCCTCGGCGTGGGCAGACAAGACCTAATCGCCTCTTCAGCATAGGCAACTCATCTCGTGCCTAAGGTATAGACAGCTCGGGTATAAACTCTACGATGTCTAGCCCACCTCGGAATATAATGAAAAAGTTGAACCCTAGTGAAGGGACAACTAACATCACCAAGTAGCCCGCGCGCAAATAGGTCGGGTAGATACCCTACAATGTTCGCGCACCTCGGGTACATTGTGCGAAGTTACCCCTATCTGTAGTCCAGCTCGGTAGCTCGATAGTTCGGGGTAGCCTATACCTATTTGGTTAGTTTGCTAGTTAGAGAATTATTTTCACTTAGAACATTTGGCAAAAAAGTGCATTTCATTAATGTGAAGAGCTCATTACAAAAAAAAGAAGAGAAAATTCTCTATTCTAAGCTGAGCTCGCAGGCCCGGGATATACAAGGAAGACTTAGTGCTCTTCGCCCTTGCCCGAGGCCTCAGCAGGAGGATCAACCCTTTCGTCAGCATCGGCCTCTCCGATGTCAAGCAGCTTGTCGTCAATCTCTGCCTCAGAGTCCGGGTCTTCGGCGACTTCGATGGCCATTTCATCCATAACCCTCGAAGTGGTGATAGCGCTCAGATCAAGCTGCGGGAACTCGCGCCTGGTCAGCCACCTGCTGAGCTTGAAGCCCTTGCGGTAACCTTCCGTCCCGACTTCGATTAGCTTTCCTTGGAACTCCTCCGAGATCTTGTACTCTTCGACGGCCTTTTCTTTGGACTCTTCCACCGCCTGAAGAAGTACCTAGGTTCATTCCTTGACATGGGCCTCGAGGTTCTCCACCTCCCGCTTCAGCGCCGCCTTCTCGGACATTAGCATTGAAATGAGCTCCTTCTGAGCCTGGGCATCGTTCTTCAACTGGTTGATCTCGTTATGGGCCAGATTCAGCTCGGCGTGAGCTTCGCGAGACAAGGACTCTGCCGCAAGAGCCCGCTTCAAATGTAGCTCAGACTGGTACGTCAGAGTGTGCACGACGGAGTTCACCTGCCAAGAGAACCATAATTAGTACCAAAAAAGTCTTAAGCGCGAAATTGAAGAAGTCAAGACAGAACTTACCACCATGCAATGAGTAGCCGCTCGAGCTCCGAGCTGAGCGAGCGATAGTTTGGCCCAACTAGCGACCTCTTCGGCATACACCGTGCTTTTGCTCTTGAGAAGGCTATATTTCAGAGTCAAGATGCTCTGAACTGCTTCCTCGCTGCCCAAAGACGCGGCGGTTGCAGGGGCGGGCTCCGAAGATGCCTCCTCGGGCGTGCGAGGCGGGGAGGCCTTCCCTAATTCCTCCTCGATCAGATTGATTACCAGAGGTTGCACATTAGGGGGCTGTTCGGACTCGGGCACGGTAGCCTGCAGTGACTCAATGCGTGCTCTTTTGGCAGCTCGCTTCTTCTTCCCCTTCATTCGGCCAAGGAGTTGATCTGCAGTGAGCTTCATGGGAGCTGCAACGAAAGCAAAATGTTAACAACATTATCAGAAATAAAGTAAAAACACAAACAAAGACGACCTATCAGGACTCAGGCCAGCCTGCACAAGCTTGTCTTCCCTTGTTTTCAGATCTAGTCTGACACCAGGATCCTGAATGGCCGCCCTCCAATGGGTTGGAAAGGGCCATCCCTCAATATTACAGACCACGAAGTAACCCCTCTTCCCAGTCGGGACCCTATTTGGGAGCTCATGCAAAAGCTTGTAGCTCGGACGAGGAGATAGGTAATAGGTCCGCCTATGCTCGGGAAGGACACAGGAGGCGTTCTTCTTGATGGGCAGGATCAAAGAGAAGATATCGAGGTCAAGGGGCAGGTTATAGTCATGAAAAAGCGATATGGTCCCTACAACATTGCAGATTGAGTTCGGGTGCAGTTGGTCTATAGTAATGTTGAAAAGCTTCAAGACTTCTACTATCAATGGGTGCAATGGAAGACGAAGACCAGCTACGAGCTGCTCCTCGAAGATCACGATCTCGTTGTGATCATGCTCCCAGGGGAAGTTGCCTAGCGGAAGACTATAAATGAGGTCGTTCGGGAGATTGTACCGAGCTATTAAGGCCTGGAGCTTGTCCGCTGTCATTGTTGATGGGCCGAAGTTGTCTGGCACCCGACCTCGGTGCGAGGTGGATGCCAAGTTACCAGAGGCTTCTCGTGCCTCCCGGAGTGGCTGCACCTCAGGAGGGCAACAGACCATTTCCAGACCCGAAGTAGCTTCTGTATGACTATCGACCTGGGCCGAGGCACCCACCTCGGCCTCATCTAGAAGACTATCAAAACTGAAACTAGACATGAAAAAGACAAACTAAATCGAAGAGGAGAGCTAGGAAAGACTCACCAAGGAGAAAGACCGAACCAAAAAGAAACACCGAATTGGAAGACCCGAGCTAAGGAGATTGAACGCGACCTCAGACCGAAGGCTAATGAGCTTATGGCGAAGAAAATGAGTCTCGGGTCCCCCTATTTATAGCCACTGTATCAGAGAACCAACAGTCGAGATCAAAGCGATCCGACGTCTCCTAAGAAAACCGGTTGCACGACCCCCGAGGTTGAAATCGGTTTAGCGCGTTTTTTGACGTCCACGGAGTTTGAAGATCGTGTGACGTCCGCGCGTAAACCAGACGCGACCCCGGTTATCCTTGGTTGAGCCGAGTAGCCAAACTGGTCCGACCAATGACTCATTCGACAAAGCGGCCTGGACCTCGAGCCAAATCCACTTGTCACATCATGAACTCCCCGCACCAGGTCTGGACCCCTAGCTTGGGGAGTGGGGGGCAATGGATGAAGGGTGATTTGGCCCGACCTCGTAACAGGGGGACACGTGGACGCGACCTGACTAATAGATGACAGCTCAGCATGACCATCCCACAGCAGAACAATCTCGGGTACCCATCTACCCCGGGCTAAAGTGACCTCGAGACAAGGTCACCTTGAAATGAGATCGCCTCGGTACCAGATCACAACAAGAACACCTCGATGCCAAGGCACTTTGACACTCAGTCCAGTTTGGGACTTAAAGGCGTCAGCTCGGGGATACCGACATGCCACTATGTGGATCCCGAAAATCCCTCCGATGGTTCCTGGACTTCACGGGATCACGCCGCATATTATCTCCCCCAACCGATTCGGGCGGACTCGATAAACGCTATCAGTTGGCAACACTATCTCCCAACTTACGCGGAAACGGATCTCAACGTGACAAGGATCCCGGAACCACTCCGCGAAACCCGCGATGACTCCATTATATAAAGGCTCCACCCCCCAGGGGTGCAAGGTATGCGTGATTTTCCTACTCTCTACTTTCAAAAGCAATTTTAGCTCGCTACTAGTCTACTGACTTAAGCATCAGAGTGGCCTCGCCGGGTTAGCATCCCTGGGTTCTCTGATATCCTTGCAGGTTCAGTCCGCCGTCCCTTTGAAAACCAGATCACCTCCAGCTGGAGCAGCTAAATCACATTACATCAGGTGTGTTTATAAAAAATCAAATAAAATCGAGTAAAATGAATTAAAAATGCAGTTTAACAGAATTGATCGATTTGATATTTTTAAAAGACTAAACAATCACTTAATTTTTTATTAACCTAAAAAGATCGATACATACACAAATATATAGCATCAATTCATTTATCTTGATTCTAAAATATTAGAAGTTACAATGGAAATGATCGCTTTAGGACACAAAGACCAAGTACAGGGTCTGTTGCAAGATAAAGCCATTCTTGCTAAACAATGAGCCACTTTGTTAGCATTTCTCCTGATCAAACATACCGAGACACTAGAAAAGAGTGAATTGTAGCTTCTGCAATTAGGAATTATAGAGCTGATTCTCCACGGTGGTTGTGTTTGTGCCCACCAACAGAAGTTGAACAATGGTTGAAGCATCGTCTTTGATTATAACTTGGTGAAGATTCAATTCAACAACAAACTCTAGTCCATGTCAAAAAGCCAGTGCTTCTACTTCTACTTCAAGTGACAACTGGCAAGCATGCATCTAGAACAAATATTATATTTCATGAACAAAATTAATTGAAAATTACTTAATGATACTTGAGATCTCGTTATGCCACTTTAGAGAAAACACAACGTTCAAACCAACCCTACTAACAAACAAAGTATAAATCTTAAAGGGAATATACATGAGAATACATTTAAATCGAATTGGACCAGATAGAGGCGAATCCATATTTGATCTAATTACAAATAAATCGAATTCAAATCATTCTAAATGCATAGAATTCGGGACATTTGAATTCCATTTGCGCATTGCAGCCCCATCATCACATGACCAAATTACCCTTCACGTATAAACTTATCACTGGGAGGAGTTTAAAACACCTTGTTGATGGACACGTAACCATACCCACATGGCTAACTGATTTGTCTTTCAACCAAACGGCATCCTATTGCCATATGGTTGGTTGGATCATAGAAAAAGCTTGTAACCTTCTAACATCCTTCGGTGCAGTTAATGACAGATCTCAGGAACGAGAGGGAGATGCAGTTAAGGCCAAGAATTGCAGTTGATTTGGTGGATTCCAATCAACACCCTATCATCAGAATGAGCTTTGGTGCAGTAACTAGAATTTCAAGGGTCGTAACTGAAAGAATCATAGGAATTAGGAACAAAGAAGTGATCAATTTGATAATCATAATTGCAGAATGTCGAGGATTCTGAAAAGTTACTAATCCTTACTAACGACCTGGGATTTACAATTTGCAAATGTCATCGTGAAGGAGACAAAAGTCACTGAGCAATGCATCACTAATTCACTAGAAAACCCAAAATTCAGTAAGAATCAGAATCCTTCTTAAGAGCATACAGGAGTTAGAACACCGATTTCAAACATTTCAACAGAAAACATGGCTCCTAATCTTGGACTCATCAACTACCCCCAAGATTCATGTAGCCGACTTCACAAGTTGGAAGAAAGCTTAGACGATGATGAGGAGCCTCAATTCAAAGTTGGTACTAGAAAGCCATTTGCGACAAGTCCTGATTTCTATCCCACCAAAGTTGAAAAAAACATGGATAAGATATATACTACCAACACTGAGCTCGTTCCCTCCGTTTGGGAATACCGTGTAACATTCATGTCCATCACACTCAACTGACCATACATGAACTTGATATGCCATCTCTAGTTCATCTCTGATGTCTGAACTTACTCCAACGAATTTTTAAGACCCATATGTAAGAAATAAAACTCTCTCACATGTTTCATTGCTTCACTGAATTTCCATGACTACATCTCAAGTTTAGTCTCAGTTTGGGCATAACCACCAAATGAAAAACAGGGCAGTGAAAACAAAGAATGCTCTATAAACACAAGAATGTGTAACAGGGAGATTCCCTTTATTGATTCAAAGACTTTTGGTGGCTCTACAGCATTCACAGGAGAATTTAAAAGCCCCCACAGCCTCAAAATCTCAAAAAGAATCACTCATTTAGCTTCATCTCCACCCCTGGTGGCAGCCACACGTAACCTGTAGTATGGAGATACCACTCCAAAAATTGCAAGTCAGACTTGAAGCAAAACATCGATTGCTTCTGGTCATTGAAAACTAGTCAACACTTCGGGAGCAATTGGATGTGGTGCTGACAGTGTAAAAAATTTGATTCACATGAAATTACTTGCACTGATTCAAATGTGAATTCCATTCATTCAGATGATTCGTCATAGCTTCTGCAAACTTAACTGCTTGAGGTCCAGGCCTCACAACATTGACATCACCCAATTTGGAGCATGGATCCGTCCACCAGCTCCCCTTTCCAGTGCACCATGCACCTGGGGCAGGATGCTTAGGCCCACGCATAAGGATCTTTTCATCAACAATATCCAGCACTGGATCATCTTGGTGGAACTGTCTTGCAAAAGCAGCTCCACTCTGCACCATCAAGTCGTAATCAGTAGTATTGAGGAAGTGGGGTTCCATCTTGGGAGGGTTGTCCCAAATCATATATCTCAGGTCAGTATTCACAGTGGTGTTCTGGAATTCTGGTGAATTGCAGATGACAGAATGAAAATAGCCTTCTTGGGATAAAATTACATTTGTAAAATACATGAGAAGTGTCCGCGGAAGGTTATCCCAACCGAGAACACAGAATTCTAGGAAGGGGCGACTCAGCATAACCCATGGGGAACCTGTTGAATGAGAAGGCAGCAGTGTCATCGTGAGAAAGGTGAACTCCCAAAGTGTTGAAAGCAAATATTAATTTATAAAGTAGCATACCTGTAAAAAATTTGAAAGCCTCAGGTGTTGGCCGCTTCCCTGAAGCATGGAATATTTGATTTCCCCTCCGTGCCAAGTAAAGTCCTGGGTCCACCACAATTGGCTGGACTCTCTGGTACCTGATAAAACAGGAACTATAAATACTATAACTATCAAAGTAAATAGCCAAAATAATTACCATAAAATTAGAGAGAAGAATACACATACTCTTTCCACCCAAGATCACTGGTATGATCAATAAAATTGAGGTCTCTCCTCACGGTTGAGAATACATGCAACAAATCTGAAAGAAGAAAAATGAAGGCCCAAGTGGGTAAGAATACTCCAAGAAACATGACTGCAAACACATGGAAAGTGAAGAGAAGTAATGGAGAAAAAAGTTATCAAGAAGGTATTAGATAGCCGTGTCATAACATTTTTTTGATAATTATAGCCATGTCATAACATTGAATATAAAGAAGAGCTCAGAGGATACAGGACATAAAATAAAGGAGGCCAATCAAAGTAAAAGAAAAAAGGAAATGAAAATGGAAGGATGTGAATGAACAGTAAACAGGGGTAACACCAGTAAAAAATGATAGAAAACAAATGACATACAGATTGAGGTTATTCTTTAAAGAACAAGGACAGAGCAACAATGGAAGACAAATCATGACACCATCAGATGAGAAGTTAAAACTTGTAGTCTGAACAATTAAGGCAGTAGGTTGGAGTACAATATTACATGTACAATTTGGCACCTTGTAACACAACCAGTAAATATTCTTTCCTTAAATCAATCTTGATTGCCAGAACATCCACAGAAATATCCATGACTTACTATTTACTATTTGGAAGATAACTGTTCCATATAGATGAAAATATCTTAAATCCCCCCACCCCCACAAAAGATACAGTGTTTGAACATGTTATGCATGTGGTAACAAATTGAATAACAACATTTCATTACATTCAGAACATCAAGTTCTAATATCATATTACATGACTTGGCATGGACACAAGGAGATTATCATATGCAATCATTTTTTTTTGGTGAAGTAACAAATTATTAATATAAAGTATAAATAAGTATGCATTAAAAATAGCACTCCCTAGCTGACAAGGAAACTGATATGTAGATTAGTGTAACATGGACATAAGGAGTTTTTATGCCATGTCCAGAAAACATGAACAAGGGATGGTGTTTGAATATATCTGATACACTGAGATGGCATGGTGTCCAAAAGCAATTATAATGGAATTGAACCATTCAAATTACAATAGTACCAGATTTCTAGCCATGAAAAAAAAAAAATCAACAACTCCAGATTCATGGGAAGAATACGTGAGGAAGAAGACAAAGCAACTAGGACAGAGGACACAGTCCTATTAGCAATGTTTTCAAAGTTTATAATTACAATATACTTGAATCAATTTGAGATGACCTTCTAGTGAAGGTAATGAATTTAGTGTCAGTGCTCTAATATATTCATACAAAATTCTTTAAGTTCGTTACTTCTAACAACAGAGTTTAAAAGCAGAAATTGCAGGCATTAATATGGGTAAGGCAAATTTGCAGGCATGAAAGCTAGTGGCACGAGGAAGGAAACATTGGGCATGACTAGAAGCAAAAGTTACGTTTATAAGTTCATAACTGGGAGCTTCATCACCAGAGTTAACCTCACAAAACAAAGCTGTTGAGACAACCCACTCACCCAATCTCCATCTAGAGAGACTTCAAAGCCAATTCACAAAGACCAATAAAGTTTATTTAAGATAAATGGTAACCATGAAGTGGAATAGCTGTAACTATTCCACCTAATACAGAAGGTCATCAGGACACTACTAGGAACAAAATAGGGAACACCAACATAGGATTCTTAGAAAAGGATGAAATGGGACAAATAACCCAAGACACAAATTCACATTTCTTTACGTCTTATGCAGATACAGATTCAGATTGAATCTTGCTTTTCTTTTATGAATTATGACTATTAACAACTTCAACCTTTTATTAGACGGGCATTTTCATTTAATCTCCAAATACTCTATAGTTAAATGTTCTTTACATTGTAAAACTCACCTTTTAAGTCATCCATGTCTCTCCATTTGAGCCGACTCCATATAGTTGGGATAAGGCTTGGATGATGGCGATGATGGCTCTCCTTTTTCTTTGCCATTGTTTTTTTAGATAATTGACTTTGACATTGTTTCTTTTTCCTCTTTTTCTTTTCTTTTTTTTTTCTTTTGTATATTTTTTTGTTTTTTTAGGGGGGGGGGGTAATGTTCATTTTACTTCTTTAGCATTAACATAAAGAGTTAATATAATTACAGGATCATCAAAAATAATATTTTTTATAGGATGAAACTCGTAAATAAGAAGAATAAAAGGTTTCATAATCGGATCAATTAAAGAAACTGGCTAGATGACCTATTTTTACCATCTGAAGAACAATGTATGTAGCCAATAATAGAGGAGATCCTCTGAATTGGCCATGAGTGCACTACAGTAGCATGCGTCTACCCTATACCTCCACCTAGTAATGATGTTCTCCCTAAAATAACAATAGCCATCCTAACCTTCGATTTTTTTATTAAAAAAGCCAATAAACAGAAAGCATGTGATAGGTTACTTGTAGCAGACTCCACATAGTTGGGAAAAGACTAGTTGAGTTGATAGGCTACTTCTTGCTGAGTTTACCCCATGAAGATAGGGTGGAAGTGGAATCCTTTAGGGCTCCAATACAAGCCTAACATTTGGGTATTAGACTTCTCTAGATGACCCAACAAAAGTTGATATATCTTCTCCTAAATACCATAAAATAAATATCCGCTGCTAGAGATGCAACTTGGCTGGCCCGTGAGCTAACCCAATCCCAACTCATCCAACTGAAGAATCGAGAACGAAGGAAGGCATAATACCCCAAAACATAGAAGCTTGTCAGTGAAGCAGAAACTTGACATCCAGAACTAAAATCAAAGTACAAATAAGGGAACCCCAATTCCATATTTATCTTCGCATTATTGCAGAAAATGGCATTCGGAATCATGTCCCAAACTGTCCTTAAGTTACATAATTTCTGCTAAATCAGAAATCATATAATCAAAATCAAAATTGAAAGGAAAAAGGACGTGACCCAATTAAAAAAAAAAACAAATATCAATTAATGAACCAACATAAAGAAATCAATCAATTTAGAAATAAGGGAAAACTGGCGCATACCGTCCTGAGTAAGCAGCGGATAATCCACGGAACTCAGAGTGATAAACCAGTCCCAACCACTATCAACCTTCAAAAGAATTGCAGCAGCATGAAGCGCGGCAGCTATATTTGACGACCCCATATAAGTAAGAGAATCCGGTTTCCCTACAACATCAACATTCCCGAAAGTTCGAATCACTGGCACAGCCCGGACGGCAACCGCCAGCTGCTGCCGCTCCTCGTTTGAAGCGTCCGTCCCGAGATGAAGAAGGTACCGGTTACGCGGGTGGTAGACTGCAAGCAACAACCGAAGGATCCTGTCCTTGTGCCCTCTCCCTCCAGAGATGTAATACGCAAATGCAGGCGGGTAAGTAGCGCCGTATCGAACTGAAGAAGGGAAAGGCCTATGGAAGCTGAAAGCGGAGTACGCATTAAAACCGGAAATTGCAGAGAGTAAGAAAAGCAAGGAAATGAAGGCCGCAGAGAAGAGAGTGAAGAGCCATTTCTTCTCAGCTGCTGCCATGGAGGCTCGATCTGCTGCAAGGGCATGGAATTAGGGCCAGCGTTAGTTGTAGGAATTGCATTGGCAGATAGTAGGAATCAGCTAATTCCTAGATCTGTTGATCCCTCTCACTCTCAGACTTTGCAGTGTAGCCATGCACAGAGTTTCATTTGCTGCTGAATCCAAAAAATAACGAAAACAAAGAAGCAAAATAGCAGTACAGGTATCTTTTCTCTTCCCAATTCAGTGATGGGCCTGATGGCGGAAAGAGGGCTAGGGTTAGGGTATGGAGTATAGAGTTATTGCTTGAGATGAGATTTGTTAAGTGAAATCGGTATAGGACTCTCTCTCTCTCTCTCTGTCTCTCTGTCTTTGCTTTTGTTGGATGAGAACAGAGAGAAACGGACTTTTGTTGATTTGTATGCATTTATACGATATATACGTTTTTTAATAATATAAAATAATGTAGAGGATAAAAACTACAAATAATCGCAGCGGAAGGAATCGATGACGGGTGGCAAACATCCATCGCGACCTGGTTTAAAGATGTCGGCGGCGGTGCCGGTGGTGTTTCTTTTAATAATTAATTGATTTTTCCGTTTTCTACGACGTGTCGATGTTGTGAACCGGGAGTTGGGGAGATCGGCTAAACAGTGAACACCTTGTTTTCTGTTGCGCTTCATATACTAGAGGGCTTTAATAAAATACATTTTTTAAGGAAAAAATAATTAGAAATATCCATAAAAATCGAAAAATCGAACCGAATTGAGAAAATTCAACCGAAAAATGTAGTTAATCGAATTGATTGCTTCGGTTTCAGTTTTCGGTTAATCTAAAAAACCGATGGTTAACCGAATGGACCGGTATATATATTTTCAATGTATCATATATTTTCTATATATTATACGTTAGTATATAGGGAGAAGTAACAATCAGCCCAGATCAAAATTTACGGGGCGAATGTATCCTGACTGTGAATTAAAGCCAAATTCATGGGCAGGATGTGATTTATAAGAGAGAGAGGGCTAGGGTGCGGGGGGGGGTGGTCTGGAATTCAGAATTCTGCATCGTATGTTTCTGCACTTTTCCCTAGTATATATTCATTATATATATATAAATATATATATATTATATTTAAAATAATTTATTTATAAATATATTGTATATTTTTATAATATTTATAATATATTATATATCATTTATTATTTATAATATAATATTATACATATATTTATATAATATATTATAAATACAAAAAATCGAAAAGTCGAAGAACTGAATCAGTTAAAAACTGAAATCGATGGACTGGTTAACCGGTTCGGTTTTAGTTTGGAGAAATGGAAAAACCAGTGATACCAATTTGATTTGCAAAAATTGGCCATTATTCGATTAACCGAACCGTGGGCACCCTTGAAAATAAGTAACTAACGGTGGCTCAATAGATAAATAAATCAATGATTGATTTATATATTATGAGTAAACAATAATTTGGGTTTTTACTCTTCAATAGGGTTGTCCATGAAAAATCAAAAAACCGAACCAAACCAAGAAGACCAAACCAAAAAATGTGGTTAACCAAACTGATCGATTTGGTCTCGGTTCAATATTTTTGAAAAACTAAAGGATCGATTGGATTTTTGGTTAACCTACAAAAAAACTGGTGGTTAACTGAACCGACTGGTATATATATATATATATATATTTTTTAATATATGTCACATATTTTCTATATATTATATATAAATATATATATATTCATTATATATAAATATATACATATATTATATTTATAATAATCTATTTATAAATATATTATATATCATTTATTATTTATAATATAATATTATACATATATTTATATAATACATATTACAAATATAAAAAACTGAAGAATCGAACTGGTCAAAACTAAAACAGACATCAGTTAACTGGTGGTACCGATTCGGTTTACAAAAAAACTGCCCATGGTTCGGTTAATCGAACCATGGACACCCCTACTCTTCAATCCACCCCAACAAATCTTAACTCCATCCTACAGTTGGGGAAGGTGCTAGCTTGGAATTGATGCTAACGCATAGGCAAATATTGTTATAGATGGAGATGTTTGAAATTTTGAATTGTTGTAAGTCTACAATGGAGTTTAGAATTATGAGGTGGAGTGCAGTGCAATTATCCCATAATTTTTATTTGGAGCACCAAATTTATTCATTTTATAATTTATTAGCGGGCCTATGCGATACATGGGATGGGGCACCCCTCTTGTCCTTGCCCCCGTAAGTCAAGATACTCTACCATTGTTTTTAAAATTGGGTCGGACCAGACGGTCGGACCAGAAAAAATAGGAACAGGTCACCTAACTAGTTCTGTTTTACCCCAAAACCACTTTTTGGCTAAAAATAGTTGATTTGGTCAATGAATCATTGATCCAAGTGGTCGAACCGTCAACTTGAACAACGGTTATCAACTTTTTTTTCTTAATTTTTTTTTTATTTTTTTCTGTCAAAACAGGCTACTCATTCGGATCAGACAACCGAACCGGACCCTAGAACGATTCCCCATCTGGTCCAATTTGAAAAACCTTAGACTACTCCATCCCTACCCCGACCCAATGGGGCTCCGGATCTGATACCCACTTCAGCCTCCCCACATCACTCTCCACGAACCACAAAGAGGACACTTCTACTATGGGTCCAAAGTTCCCATGTGCGAGCATAAGAGAACAGACATTAAATCCATTCCGTTAAATGATTCAACAATATTAAATAAAAATGAAAATCCCACTAAACAATTGAATGTACATTTCTGAACTCCGAGTCTCTTCTCCCATTAAGCTGAACGGTGGACTTCTTGTAACAAAACTTGTAGCAGAACTGTAGTATCCCCTCCGGTTCGCCATTCTCTTGAATCAAAATAATCTTTTCCATTGAACAGAACGGTGGACTTCTCTTGTAATAAAATAGTAGCTTCCTCTCTTCAGTTCGTTGTTCTCTTGAATCAAAGATACCTGCATTTTAAACAAGGCCATCGGAAAATAGTTTGAAAAACCAACTGGAGCTCATCGCTTCTTTCAAATTGAGCGAAATTCCATGTAGCATTCGATTTAAGAGGAGGAGCTCACCACTGTAAGCCATGGGAGGAACAATGCGAAGGGAGAAGAGGATGGCTTAGGGAAAAGGGAGCCAAAAAAATTCTAGGTTTATTTACGTCTAACGGGAGGAACATGGTAGAACTAGAAAAAAGAGCTCACCACCGTGAGCTATGCGAGAAACAGAGCAGAGGGAGAAGACGATAGGCTAGGGTTTAGGGTATTGTTCGATTAAGAATGGGAAAATAAGAGAATAAAAAAAATTGCTTAATAATGGGACTATCAAGGGCGACAGCTGGGACGAACATGTAAGTGGGGTTTATGCTCGCGCATGGGAGCTTTAGGCCCATGTCATTGGACATGTGTCCTCTTTGTGGATTGTGGGGAGAGATGTGGGGAGGCCGAGGTGGGTAAAAGCCCCCCAATGGTGGGGTAGGTCGTCAAGTCACCTTGAGGCAACTACCTAAACAAATCTATTTATGGATAGTTTATAAATAGGATTATGGGAATTTAGGAGTATTTTAGGAATTGAATTATGGGATCCTAGGATTATAAAAATATAATAAAAACTTAGAGATATTTTTAAAAATCAAAAGTAAATTTAATGGATTTAACTTTCTAAAACATGTTTCTATACAAGGTTTGTATAGGTTTCCTTGCCTATACACGACTGTAAAAGGGTCATTTACTAGCAGGGATTTTTATTTTTATTTTTAATAATTAATAATTAATTATTGTTATTTTTGTATAATTTAATCACATAAATTATTATATAAAACATGTTTCTATACAAGGTTTGTATAGGTTTCCTTACCTTTCCGTTCCTTTCCCTTTCCCTATCTTTTCCTTCAAACCAAACACAAACTAAGTGATTTCCTACTACATTTTATTGTTAAACCAAAACAATCCATGAAATAAATCTACATTAAATTAATAAAAAAGAGAGAAAAATCTTATAACCCATGGAAAGGAGTAATTAGTTTGAGTCTAATGTATTGGTGAACAAATTTGGGTTTAGACATTAGTTTGAGTCCAAGCTAGGGTTCATATTTAACTTAACCCTTAACCCAACCTAACCAATCCATCTAATTTACACCTCTACTTTTTTAGAGAGAGCCAAAAGGGATTAAAGGGATTTAATGGAGATAGAGAGATTTAAGAATTTAAGAATTTTGTATGGTTTTATTAGAGAGTAAAAATGGATTTTATGAGACAATGAAGACACATGAGATTTTTAATTTTGTCTTGTTATATTTTTAATAATTTCATTTAAAAAATAAATGTGCACATATGTGAGGAGGAGGTGCACATGAACTCTATGTTGATGAGAGGACCCCTCACCTCCCCTCTTTCCTTTATTAAGTTTTATTTTTGGTACCATACCTTTTTTGGTGTAAGAGCAAGTGGTTGTGGCAATGATAGTAGTAAATGGACTAAAATAAAAAGACAATCCTCCACGGTTTGGGTATTCTCAATCTTGGTGAATGCAATCATCCTTCTATGCACTTTTCACTATTGATCTACAATCATCATCATTATCATCATCATCATTCGTGCCTTATTCCAATTATATGGGTTCGACTACATGAATTCTGTTTTGCTGATCATTCCTATTAAAGCCATATCCATTGTTAGTGCTTAAACCATTTCTTAGGGTCCATTTGGTTTACAATCAAAATCAGAATTGAAAACCTTCAGAATTAGAATTGGAATGATCTATTCCCATAGTTTGTTTGGTTTAGACAGGAATCAGAATAGAAATTGGAATAAGCTAGAATGAGATTTCATTCCAAGAGAGGGTGAGGGAATGGCCATTCCTTCAAATGGGGAAATGCCATTCCTTCAAATGGGGAAATGCCATTCTACCAAGAATGAGAATGAGAATGAGATTTCAATTCTGCCCAACCAAACAATTGGAATTGAAATGGCCCATTCCGATTCCAATTCCAAATCCCTATTAATGGGTCCTTACTATTTTTACCCATATCCTTTTTAGTCTACCTTCCACTTGTAACAAATCATTTTTTTCTAATTGGAGCTGTTAGTAGTGTTCTATGGATGTGATCAAACCATATTAGCGTACTCTCTCTCTCTCTCTCACACACACACATTTTATCACTTATTGGAATTAATCCTAAGTTTATATGGATGGCTTCATTCCTACTCCTATTCTTTCTAGTTTTTCCACTCATCCATCTTAGCATTCGTATTTATGTCACTTATTTTCTAAACATGTTGTTTCTTGACTGTCTAACGCTTTACTCCATACAACATAACTAGTCTTACAATTATTTTATGAATTTTCAATAGTATTCTCTTATTGCACAAAAGTTC